GACTAAAAAGCGTGGCCCCGGAAACTACTTTGTGTGCAAAAACGCTCTTGCCAAAAAGCATGTTTCTGTCGTGCCAGACGCTCGCGCTATTCCTCACGACGATGCACCAAAAATAATAATACGTGCCTTTCCAGTACTTGACTTTTACTGAGCTTGAACCTCCTGCAACGTGCATTTTGCACCTTTGAATTTGATTTTCTCAGCGAGAAGAAATCACAATGACCACCAGCCTATAGTGCGATGACGTCATGTGCATACCACGTTTAGCAGTTCAGCTTTCTGGTAAAATGCGATGTTCGCAACACTAGCAATAGATATCCTAATTGTAAAGTTGTGATGTATTCATAGCAGTCCCGCGGCGATATACGGTAACCTAGAGAAATATTAGAGCGCATGACTATTGAAGCATGATGTTGTAAAGTAAGGGCCCGACACAAGCGCAGGTAAAACCGAATATAACATTAGCCTCCTGAGGCAGTATTTCACGAAGGTTCGAGCTCATGCAAGCTGATTAAATGTTATATTAAGATTTTAAGAATCTTTGTCTGTCCTTCGCGCTATTCATGTAAAATTAGGAATTTCATTGCACACATCTTTATGCATCTCCGTTTGTAGTAAGGCGTTCTGTAAGGAATTATTCAGAAAAATACCATTAATTATCTCTTTTTTAACGTTTCGAGTATTTGCCTTCAGATCTGTCATGTGAACACAGAGTCCTTTCTGGCGTACCCTGGAGCCTGACGTTTCACGCTGCCAATCAGCGAACAAAAAACACGTTTACGCAGTCTTAACAGCTCGCGTAGTTTCGAGTATCGTTCTTCCGAATCGGTCTCATGCGGTTATAAAGGAAATTATTGATTATAAAAATATATTTCATTACTTACTGAATATTTGACAACACAAATAAAGGGCCGACCACTCTAAAGCAATGCCGCCCCCCCCCCCCCCCCCCCCCCTTCACCCAATTATCTTATATGTGTTCTGACAACCGTTTCTGGCGTTTTTATCCTCGACCGGCACATTATAAGTGATCTCGGACAGCCATATACATATTTATGATTTTGAAGCTAATTTAAATAACTATCTGTTCCTCACACATATAACTTCTCAAACATATAGAAGTCTGTTATTGCCTATTTTATGTGGTGAACATTACCTTTATGTCTGTGGGCTGGACAAAAACAAAGTAAACACGAACGCGCGGCGAAACTATGACGATCACGCACGCGAACCGTCAGAAAGTGTCTAATTAAGTAGCTGTCATGTCGAGTAGAACATGAAATACTACATCGTTTTACCTAACAAAAAAGAATCTTAGAGAACGCTTAAGCTTCGTTTTTAAAAGTGGAACACGCCTCGTTCGCATCGCCTCCTCATTTGCCGTGCAAGCGTGCCTCGCGTGGCCTAGTCAGGAGCATGTCTGACTCGCAACCAAAGGGGTCGTGAATTCGAATCCCACGTAAAATTCTTAAGTATATATATATTGTGAAACGCATTTAGTAAACCGTATTTCGTGATATATACGGCCACGAGGTGCTCATTTGATGATTTTGTGTGCTGTAATTATTTCCTTGGTTCAAAGACACAATCACTATTTAACTTTCAATACTGGGACACGAAGTTGTATTAATCACGGGTATTTTATGCGACCTACCACACTTCGGACAACATTTTAGACCGTGTAAAAAGATCAGCTTGAACTAATAATTTTACTTGAAGGAACCATGAAGGCAATTTAATTTAAAAAAATAAAATGTGTTTTCGGAAGCATTGGGGTCCTGGCATGCCAGAATTTTTTCTAGAACGTTGTGACTCTTATTTCTGTACCTGCAAATAAATTTCCGAAACCGAAACACACATTCAGATTTCTTCCCGTTTTTGCCTCTGGAAAGAGAAGTGACGTCAGGGAACACTGTCGGAATCGGTAGGATTTAGTGCACGCTCAGTGTGGTTCCCGTGGTTCGCTCTAGTGCACGGCGGTCTGTGAAGAAAACCTGGAAGAAATGGACGACAACGCCGCGCTCGCAAATTAGTTTGAGCTCCCGTTCAGCGACCTCACGCCGACTGAACGGGAGATGCTGCTAAGGACGCAGAACTCTGGATTGGCGACCAATGCAGCAATGCTGCCCATTGCTGCATCGGTCGGCAGTTTATGCAAACTAATGTCGCCCGATCGACCGCACGTCTTTAGCCGACCTTTCGCGCAACCTACTACTGCACATAAACGCGGCATGATTGGTGAGACACCAGTTCGCAAAGCGAAGACGAGACGACGCACGAAACCAAAACCAAAAGTCCGCCGCACCCGGCTCTCGTACCTCTTTTTCTTTTTGTCCATGGTTGCTCGATGCTTGTTACGCGCCCGAGGTAGCAGTGCGGGATGCGTTCAACCAGAGACAAACTGAGGGATCGCTTCAGATTATGCTTTTATACACGGTATGAAACCTAGTAATTCCCAACTACAACTTCAAGATATTATCCAACGTTCAAATAAACTTTTTTCATCACATCTCACCACCGAAATCGAACCAAGAGCGCGTCTATCGTTTGAACCAATCGCCAGACGAGGAGCCCGTCGTCGTCACGTTTCGGCGCACTTTAGTTCACCTTTCTGCCGCCGCCTCGGTGGGGTCTCAGGCATCGTTCCCGGCGCTGTTATTACCGCGCCTGTTTGCTCGATTGGTACGGCACCCAAACTTCTGTTCGGGCTAGAACTTGGTCAACAGTATCTGAGACGTGCCTGACATCCATTTCAATCATCGAATAAAACTTCGAAACTGCCTTCATGGTCCCTTTAAACACGAAGAAAGGACAGGAAATGAAACTATAGTTCTAAATTTCAAGCTGATCTATTCGCAAGTATACTTGTAAATAGATCAGCTGGAAATTTAGAATTATTTTGTCATTTCCTGTCCTTTCTTCGTGTTTAAGTAAAATTCCTAAGTTCAAGCTGATCTTTTTACATGGTCTAAAATATTGTCGCAAAGTGTGGTAGGTCGCATAAATATATGTACCAACAAGCTCAACTCGTTACTGTTGTACATTTGGATTCAGGTAAAATATATGTGACTGATAAACAAAGAGATGTTGAGTCGTATGAACACGACGTTATGTACGTTGATGTAGATTTTCTTCTACTCTTGCGACGAAATTAAATAACTTGAAGCTCATATCTTTGGTACCTGAAAACAAAAGTTAATTGCACAGACAATAGAAGGATTTATATAGTTAATCGTTTCACGGCGTAAATAATGTCTATTGCAATAACAACGCAAAAAATATGTTCTAGATTTAGCGGTTCAAACTGGTTTGAACCGTTATTTTTTGCTCCCCGGAACTGAACCGGAACCGAACCGAAAGCCGTGAACCCGAACCGGAACCGAACCGATAAAAATTTCGGTTCGACACTCTGCTTAGAACACAGACAAAATACTGCCATCTAAAATTTCAAAATAGTCAACCAACATGAACTTTGCCCTCAGTTCCTGGATAATCTCACGTGCCATACGTCGGAACATAACGATGAGTCCAGTGACAGAGGGGGCACCAAGTATCTAGAAACGTCTACAGCAGGGCAGGCCTAATTATCTGGGAAAACACAAAGGATAGCTCTGCAAAAGAGCAATCAAGGGAAAACAAATCCTCGGGAGGAGGTCTATTTGGGCCTTCAACCATTTTGAAGTATTGGGAGCCTGTAGAAGGTGGCACTTATTCCAGGCATCACTTACGGGAACGGGGCGATTTGCCTCGAGTCAAACACGGATAATTTTCTAAAGTCAAGGCAGCAAGAGGTGGGAGGAAGGGCCCCTGGAGCTCCCTTCAATGGCTCCGATGAAAAATTCAGGGAGAGCTCGGTTGGTCGAGCGTCGAGGCCAAGGAGACAGTGGCGAAGACCTGCTACGAGAGGCGACCGAGACATATGGATTAGACAAAGTGGACGACCAGATCTGGAGCAACATGTTCTACAGGGACCGGAGCACCAAGCGGTGGAAAAGAACAAGGATGCCTGCACGTCACTGTCACATCCCAACACAAACTTTAATGGATAGCAAGGAGCTGGAGGACAATGCTGTAGCCGACGCCTAGAAAGCGAGGACACTCACGCAAGAGGAAGAGACACGACGTTGGAAAAAATAGGGTGGCGTAGAAATCATCGCCATGGATGTACGGGGAACAGGACAGAATTTAGTTTTTAGGACAACACCGGGGGAAGCAGTTTCTTATTTAATGCATGGGCAGGTACTCTGAAGACAGCAGTGGAGGACCCACTTCACCGAAGACCTAGAGACTGCTTGCACCAGCTGTGGGACGGAGGCACATAGTGACGGACTGCCAAGGTATAAGGCCGGAGCCAGAAACTGACTTGTTCCTAGAGGCTCTTGCCATTGGGACAGGGGTGGAAGCCAACAGACTTGGCAGATGGAGCACAAGAACAAAGCATTAGAGCAAGAAGTGTATGATTAATAATGTGACCCCCACAAATAAATATAGCACTTTTGCATTGCAACAATAAACTAGGGATTGCCGAACACTGATTCAACACCCAAGTGTAGCGCTAGCAGTCTACCAGATACCAAAGTTTCAGAACTGACCATCATCTCATTTAAGTTTATAAGTGATTTTCTAAAAATTCCAATGGGAAAATAGGGCCCATTCTAGTTCGTTTTAAGTGACTGGTGCCATTCAGCTTCATGTATTCGAGAACTTTATTCCGAGAAAAACTTCAGAAATTTACTTTTAGTTTTTTTATAAGATAACGGTTAGTTCTGAAACTTTTACATCTGGTTCGGACCACTAGGATATCACTTGCGTGGATAAAGAACGTTCACCTATGCATAGTTCACTTTCGTAATAAAAAAATAGTTTTTTTTGTGGTGGAGGACAGAGCATGAACTTTATTCACCTGAAACAAAGGGAATGGCCACCACAATCTGATCCAAATTTATCTGCCGCAGTATGCACATCCACCCGGGAGTCAATTTCATGGCTACAAAACTGCCACAGTGAGGTCCCAGCGTGGTACAGGATGGCAAAATAAGAACTGCCCAGAGAGCTGCTCTGCCAAGATATGCAATGGCTGGAAAACAACACTCGAACTGTCTAGCTTTATTTGTGAGGAACACCGATACAGAACTCTGATTACACATTTATCATCTGCAGAATTTATTCGAGACAAACGAGAGTAAGAAAAGAAAACCACAATGAAAATATATACAAATGTATTACACAATGCATACTAAGCACACAACAATACACAGGATGCAGTAAACCATGCAAAAAAAATGGTCATTTTAGTACAAAAAACATAGTCTGGCATACGGTCCCAGAATTCCGGCAAAGATACACAGAGACAACTATCGGCAACAAGAATACGGAGCAACAGAAAATTACGCCCACCTAAATACAGGAGCAATATCTCAAAGCAGGTCTCATATAAATACATGACTATGAAGATTCCAGTGCAGGGAAGGAAGCAAGAACACTTCGAACATGATCAAGTTCAAGTCAGTTCAGCTCTCTACCTCGCTCTTCAAACCAGCGTTGCACACACATTATGGAGCATTCAAAATTGGCACGCTGTCCATTGTAAAATCTGCTTGGTGGTGTGGGAATACTATACTAGGGGGACAGCTTTTCTTGGCCTTTTGGAGAAGAGGGCTCGTGCAAGTTCCATCAGTGCTTAAAATTGGAGAAGGCATAAGTGCCAGTGCCTTTGACTGCATTGCCAAGAAAAGTTATCCCCAAGTATAGCAAGGTTCAAATTGGAAGCACGAACCACTGCAGTGCACACACACACACACTCAGAAATAGGTTGACAGCCGAGTTGATTGCTAAAATGGAGAGGCATGCTACGGGATGTAAAAATTAAAACCTATAAAATTCCTCCACACTGGAGTACCAGATTGCAAGAGCAGAAAAGACTATAGGAATTGAAATTGACACACTTTATTTCTTTAAATAATTAAATTGAAACTTGGGTAACACATTTATTTTTTACAAGCGCATATCTTTTATATACAGGAGTAAAAAACACGGACCTATTTCAATCTATTGAAAAAGTTGAAGGTTTGTCATTACACTGACCAACCTCTTCATCAGTTCTGGCAAGGAATTGCTCCGTACTCCTCAACACATTTGTGTGATTACAAACAGTAGCATTTTTTTAGACGAAAGGCTTATGAGCAATGCAAGAGTTTCGCTATGCGTGCACAATGAATGTGATAACCATACTGGATATACAACGAACCGTTCTGAGAAGTCGACAGTGCAAAGGCCCACTCCCTGCCACCTGATTAATGCAATCGCCATTAGGTTCGTCATCCAGTGCTTTGGTCAGATGCCCCACAAGGCAAAGGCATTAAGAAATGCACAGAAACATTGCTGTCATTTGTAAGGTGCTGTATTCCAGTCAATTTAGGGCACTGCATGGATTTATATATCTGAACTGCATATATCTGCATGAGTCAAATGATTCCACATGTTACAAAGCATGGAAGGCTAAACTTGCAGCTGATTCATAAACCTTTCGGTGTAACTGCACTTGATTGTGGTGGATTGAAATGCGTCATTCTCGCCCGTGTGCACTCGTTATGGAGGGATGAAAAAATTCAAAGAAAAGCTTGCACTTGTACATTATTTCACCTATGGTTCATCAGATTTCGATTCTCAAGTAAGGCTTCGGAAACAGCGTGCACTCAAATGGCTTTTTACCTGTGTGCATTACGACATGGTGGGCCAGATGAGAATTCGAAGCAAAGGTTGGGGACAAAGCTTGTACATGTATATCTTTTCACCTGTGAGTGTTTTGGTGTGGTTCATAAATTTGCAACTCCACAGTCTGCACTATAAGGGTTTTCACAGCTGTGTATTTGTTTATCGTAGTTCAGATCGGAATGAGCCAAGGCTTAGGGACTAAGCTTACACTTGTATGGCTTTTGACCTGTGTGCTCGATTGTGTACAAATCGCAATTCTAACAAAAAGGTTTGCAGGCACAGCTTGCACTTAAATGGCTTTTCATGTTTGATTATGGCTTCTGAGATGAGAAATCTGAGCAAAGGTTCGGGGTCTAAGCTTGCATTTATATGGCTTCTAAGCCATGTGCTTGTGTTTTATCAGATTACTACTTAGATTACTAGGAAAGGCTTGGGTGCACAGCTAGCACTTAAATGGCTTTTCACCAGTGTGTATTCGATTATGCTTTCTCATATAGGATATTTCAGCAAAGGCTTGGGACACAGCTTGCACTTAAATAGCTTTTCAACTGTGTTTGATTATGGTAGATCAGACTGGAATTCCGAGAAAAAGCTTGGGGGCACAGCTGGCACTTAAATGGCTTTTCACCTGAGTGTGTTAGATTATGGCAGATCAGATTGCTTTTCTGACAAAAAGCTTGGGGGCATAGCTTGCACTTACATGGCTTTTTACCCAGGTGTTTGATAATGGCAGATCAGACTGATTTTCTGAGAAGTGACTAGGGGCACATTTTGCACTTAAATGGCTTTTCACCAGTGTGTTAGTTTGCGTTCTTAAATTAGAAATAGCCAAGGCTCAGGAGCACAGCTTGCACTTATATGACTTCTCACCTGAGTGTGTTCGATTATGACAGATCAGAGAGCTATTATGAGAAAAGGCTCATGGGCACAGCTTGCACTTAAATGGCTTTTCACCAGTGTGCGTAAGATTTTGCCTTCTTAAATGACAATTCCGAGCAAAGGCTTTTATGCAAAGTTTGCACTTAAATGGCTTTTCACCAGTGTGTGTTTGGTTATGCCTGGTCAGTCTGGAATTACTAGCAAAGGCTTGAGGACAGTTTGCACTTAAATGGCTTTCACTCAGGTTGTAATTCTCAGAAAATGCTTGGGGACACAGCTTGCCCTTAAATGGCTTCTCCCCAGTCTGTATTCGATTATGTCGGATCAGCCTGGAATGCCGAGCAGTCCTGGGGACAAAACTTACACTTGTATGGTTTTTCACTGATGTGTTTGATTATGGTGGATGAGATGGAAATTATGAAAAAAGGTCTGGGGGCACCAGCTTGCACTTAAATTACTTTTCAACAGTGTGTTAGATTATGTCTTCTCAGATCTGAAATCTGCGAAAATGCTCGGGGGCACAGCTTGCAGTTAAATGGCTTTTCACCAGAGTGTGTTCGATAATGGCGGATCAGAGCATTATTCTGAGAAAAGGCTTGGGGGCAGAGCTTGCACTTAAATGGCTTTTCACCAGTGTGGGTTAGATTATGCCTTGTTAGATGAGAATTTCGAGAAAAGGCTTGGGGGCACAGCTTGCACTTAAATGGCTTTTCACCACTGTGTGCTCGATTATGGCAGGTCAGTTTAAAATGCTCAGAAAACGCTTGGGGGCACAGTTTACACTTAAATGGCTTTTCACCTGAGTGTGTTCGATTATGACGGACAAGTGTGGAATTCTGAGAAAAAGCTTGGGGGCATAGCTTGCACTTAAACGGCTTTTCACCTGAGTGTGTTCGATTATGGGCGAGAAGATCAGCATTTTGAAAAAAGGCTTGGGTGCAGAGCTTGCACTTAAATGGCTTTTCGCCTGAGTGTGTTAGATTATGCCGTGTTAGATGAGAATTATCAGAAAAGGCTTGGGGGCACAGCTTGCACTTAAATGGCTTTTCACCTGAGTGTGTTCGATTATGCCTTGTTAGGTGAGAATTATCAGAAAAGGCCTGGGGGCATAGCTTGCACTTAAATCTCTTTTCATCTGAGTGTGTTTGATTATGGGAGAGAAGATCGCCATTTTGAGAAAAGGCTTGGGGGCAGAGCTTGCACTTAGATGGCATTTCACCTGAGTGTGTTAGATTATGCCTTGTTAGATGAAAATTATCAGAAAAGGTTTGGGGGCACAGCTTACACTTAAATGGTTTTTCACCAGTGTGTTTCTGAATATGGTGGATCAGCAAGGAATTCCAAAAAAATGCTTGAGGGCACAGCTTGCACTTGAATAACCTATCACTTTTCTGCTTTTGAGTGTTGCTGAGCACTTCGGATCTAGAGGCAGGTGACATAGGAGGGGGCTGGGACTCGTATTTTTCATCACCATGAGAAACCAGGTGGTTCACAATCCCATGCTGATCTCTGGTGACATAGGTGCAGGAACAGCACCCAAACCAGATGTCCTCAGTGGCTTTCAATGGGCAGCTGGTCTCTCCCAAAAGTGCAGCTTCCTCTCCTACAAGGATTCATGTGTATTAGGACACACTAGGAAAGCACAAAAAAGCCGCATGTTTTAGAAATAAGCAGTCATTATTGTAGCTCTGCATCAGGTGAGCAGTTAAATTTAATTTTTTTCTTTTAATTCAGTTAAAAAAAGCACTGAAATAGAGTTAGCTCGATTAACTGTTTTGTTAGTGTGTACCAGATAAAACACTTTAAATTGTCCATGAAACGAATCTCGGGTTGGGATTATTGAATTTAAATTGGCATTTTGCTGTAGCATATGATTTCATAAGCCAAAAAGAAGGCAGAAAGTCAAAAACCTGCTTTTCAGTACGAAAATCTGCAAACACGGCAAGCTATTTTGTACCTTCCACCTTTCGACAGATCTCCCCCTTTTCACTGCGGGGGATGAAACTGCGCAAAGCGGCTTTGGAGCAATTTTGGGAGCAGCAAAAACGAGGTCTTGGAGCAAGTTGGGAGCCACGTACAAGGTTAAAGTAGAGGCTAAATGTCACCTGGTCTTCAAAATGCAAGGAAATATGGCATGCCGATGACTCCATGTGAACGGTAATTTCAATTAACATTTTATTTGAAACATTTTTTATGAAATTCCATGAAAATTACTCAAAACATATAAAGCAAAGCTGCACGATATTGTCACGCGCGATGGAACTGACTTGCAAAGTAAAATAAACAAACAGAATTAACTTTGAGCTTTGTTTATGCATTTCCTCCACGAGCGACCTTGAAGGCGTAGTGTATCCGTGCGAAAAAGATGGACATAACAGAATAAAAGTGTTTTGCTTACAAAAAAATCAGCCCTCCCTCCCCCCCAAAAAAAATTTCAGAAAGATAACACAAGCAATAACCCATTAAGGGATCACGAGGTAAGCGAACACCCTATATCCTGAAATGTAACTGCAGAGTGTAAGGTCAAAGTCCCGCCAATGTAAAGTCACTGCGAACCCGCTCCTTCCCCCGGCACATCGCGACCGTGGTTCTGCAGCATTTAAAGGGGCGGGAGTGCAACGATTTCCGGACTTTGGTCAAAAATTCATGTAAGTTGCCGTCTCACACTTGTGAAGTAAAGAACAGAAAACCGATTTTGCCTGCATGTCCTAGTTGTTGTGTAAAAAAGATAAATATTGGCATTTTTGGCACGCCTCAACTCACTCTCAGTCTTGAGGGCCACACCTGGTCGCACTCCTAGTGACGTAATTCAAGGTGCCGTGTAGGTTTCTGTGTGCTCTCTCTCAAGGAACGCTTCCCCTCCCTCTCTCTGCTGACGTTAGGGAGTTTTCAAAGATGGTTTTTACCGTCCCGCAATGCTCTCTAAAACCTGCTGTTATACCCGGAACTCTACAATCAAGGCCGTTGGCACGCAGGCGCAGTAAGAGCTTTTTCGTTGCAGAGGGCTTACCGAAGGGGGAAATACGGTCTACGAAAACTCCCCATTAGCAGGCATTATGCTGCAGCTTAGAGCCGACCGAGGTCACGTAAGCTTCTCGCCGTAGTTCATTCAGCTGCCACTCGCGGCTCAAGGTGGGGGTGAAAAGCTCGACTTTTGCTTTGCGATTATGCAGCGGAATCGGGATATTTTTTAACGAAAGAGATGTTTTCTCTATCCTCCGGGACATGATAAACAAGGTGAAAATGTTGAATGCAAATTCTTTTAATCTTAAAATCGTTGCACCCCCCTTTAAGACAACGCCGTACACAGACTTTTGTAGAGCGTCTAAACCCCCGTTGAGAGCATGCCAAGCATGGACCACGACCAACTCTATAATGGGCGACCAGCTCACCTCCTCCTGCCCCAGCGCGCCGCTTTTTGTTTTGCTTGTTTGGTTCTTTTTAGTTCGCCTAGTTCCCGCCGCTCCCGCTGGCGCTGCTTAGAATCTCCATTTTCCCCGCTGCTTAGTACGCTCGGGAAGCCTGGGGAGGCTAGTACAAGCTGTCTTTTGGCACGTGCGCGCGTGGACGGGTGGTTTTTTCTGCTCTAAAATAGCTGAACGTTAATAGTTAAGTGGAACTCAACAACGGGCTGTGATGGTCTTCTGCTGTGTGCCGCTGTGCAAGTCGAGTACGCGGACTTCGACGGGGGTCGCTTTCCACGAGTTCCCGGTGACGGAGATCCGGAACGACTGGCTGAAGAAAATCTCTTGCCAAGCAGAAGGCGAATCAGTTGCCCACCAAACTATTTAGCATAAAGAGAAAATAGGTTCTGTTCATGTTCATAACACAAAATAGGTCGTGGTACATATAAGTTTACAGCGTCATCCCTTACACGCCGTGTTGCGAATGTTGGACCTTCCTCATTTTGAGCGTTTAGTTAAATATGCAGTGATGCTGATACACCTCCGTACCGGATCAGCCGACATTCATCGGAAGGAATGATGTTCACGTGTTAATGTTGCGAGCTCGCGAATTTCAGATGACGCGGAACTTGCTGACAGGGTGTATATTTTAATTATGAGCATGTTAGACGTCGTTTGTTTATCTGATACTGTTTACTGTATTCGTTACTGTTTTCGGTTTAGTGCGTCACTAATAAAGATGTTAGTGTCCTAGTGAAAATGAAAGAATAATAGTAAACATACAGCTTGTCTCTGTATGTCCTATTTTAACCATTGTTATGAGTCTGCCTGTTTTAATGGTATATTTTAAACATTTTATGCTTTTGCCTTACCTACAGCATTATTTCAAGAGATTGAGTATATGTTTTCTTCAGGTATACAAAAATATGTTCATTACTGGCCTGGCAAAAAAAAAAAATTATGAGTGGAGAAGAGCCATACCCTAAAACCGAAACTACTAATATCTTTTTATTGAAATTTTGAGTATTTCTGGGTGTGCATTCTTTACAAAAGGTATCAAACTGAAGCCGGTCGAAGCTTTACTGATAAGCAAACACTCCCTTTGGTCTACGTTGGCTTCACGTAATTTAGCTCTTCTCAAAGGGGGCAAAAAAATAAATAACTTAATTAATAGACTGGCAATAGAAAGCGCTGTCGCTTTACTCTGTTTACAGAACATGTCAAGAAAGCTATGCGGTTGTCGACAGAAAAGGTTACAATCAAACTCGTAGGTTTTATCAACGCAACCGCTGTCCGTCGCGTATGACCGCGCGCGCATTTGGAGATGATACGCGGCGGCGCCTGGCGGATTTCGCTGTCCCCAGGCGTGGTCACGTGGTATTTTCCGGTACACGCGCTCCCGTAGAGAGGGGAGAGCTGACCTGGTCGCCCTTTATAGAGTTGGTCGTGGCATGGTCGCACGCATGTATGCACCAAACAAAAAGGTTGCGCAACAGCTTGCGATTCACAAGGCGCCCGACTTGGCCCAACGCCAAAGTATTTGCCAACGCTATTGCCAGCTTTCCCGCTTTCCCAGCATCGCTCTTCGTCGCTTCTTAGGTTCGCTGTGCCTGGTTAGTTTTTGTATTTTCTTGTGGACTTTAGTTTTTTCTTTTCGGTGGTGTTCGTAGCATGTAGATGTAGATCGGTGGTGTTTGCAGCACGTTGAGCACAATAGATTTTGCGATAGTAGACCGTTCTCTTTCATGAGCATTTTTTGTATAGAACAATAAATTTTGAGTTTTCAGCTTAATGTACTCTTGTGCAGTCGCGTTAAATACATACAAAAAATAGGCAGTTTTTTTCCCGCTTTTTTTAACTTTTTGTGCTCACCCAACGAGACATGGCCCACCCTACTTTTTATGAATTTCAAGTGGCAGGGGGTGTGGGCGATGACTCGGGATATTATGGTATACAGGAATCCTCACCAACACTAACATCAATGCACCCTGCTGGTGATCTACTCTACTTGTTCATCCTGAGAAAAATGAATATGGTCGTGCAAAATAATATTGTGGAAGGTTATTTTTTATGCTGCTCAGCAGCATAACAAAATTTGTATATAGGATCCATTAACCTGGCTGCAATAAATTTTTTCACAAAGCTGTCTTTAGGTGGGGCTTTAAAGGGCAACTCCGCTTCATTTTCGATACTTAGAAAACTATGCAGTACTCTTCAGTATGATATAGGAAGACAACATGGAAACATTACGATCTAATCCCATCTATATATTTAATAAACTTGCCAGCAAACTTTCAAAAGACCCAAGTCGCCGAAATCTGCCAACTCTAGCGTGCGACGCGAGGCGCAATATTCAGTGCAGTCAATGCCATGGAGTTGGGGGAGCCAACATTGAGCCACTACGTCAGAGGCATGACTACGTCATTCTCACGTTTCGTTTGTTTGTACTCAGTACAAACAGTTTCTCTAACTCCTACTCTCTAACTCCTACTCTAATAAAATAAACATTCAAAATGGTGACAGTTTTGCTTGACGCTGTATGTGCCAGACAAGAATTTACTTATAAGACGAAGTATGAAATTATATGACAAAGGCTACTGCCAATATTCCAAAATATCCTACTTGGATAACCCACTAAGAGTGCATGGGGTTATTAGTGTGGATTAACATATCCACATTTGATGAATAGAATAATTTCCCCAAAAAACTCGAACTCTACAAACAAAATTCAGTTTAATCGAACTGCCCAAAAGACATTTAACAGTGGTCGAATAGCTTAGGTCATGGCCCTAAAAATAGTAAAAACATGTTCAGTTATTTTATTCACACATCACTCCGAGGTGCATAATACTGGGGGATTCACAGCCCAGACAATCTACCACTCATGTCGTGTTGATATCGTTACAGGATCTACCGTAAACGAGCTTCAGGCTAGCTGCACCTTGACAATCGCCACTGCTTTTTTCCCAATGATGAGATCGTCTATGCTGGCTGGACTCATCAAAACAATGATCCCAGAGAAAAAGAAAGCCACATGCTATGCAAGTCACTGCCAATTGCTCAACTAAACATATATGCACTTATTTTCAACATTTTGTTTACTATGACATGTCTATAGAAAATTTCTTCCAATATATTTGCTGACAGGGTGATCCCTACATAGCCCAAAAGCATCAAATAGAAACAATTTTGTTAACACTGATATATGGTCACATATTTGCTGCCTGCAGGTAAAAATGAACTTTACAATGCTCTAAGCCCTTCTACACCATAGCTTGATCCACAGGGTGAGGCAGTGAAGTGCCCCTCATGAGTAGCACTTTGAGCACCATGCACACGAATAAAGTGGGAACCATTTCAACCCATGAGGCAAGCTCTGCCTTTTTATCGCAGTAACCATCATGTAATGACTACAGTGTGCTGTTGTTCCTAGACTAACGGTTGGCATTATCATTTGGCGAGTGCTGCCCAGAGTTTTTGCTGGTCTCAGAAGAAAACAGCTGGAAATGGAAGGCAGCCTTCTGGAAACCAGACAGACCGCACTGTGTGAAATTTAGATGTAAAGATTCTTGGCTCAACAATATTTTATTATCCTGGATGGATGGATGAATTGGAACATGGCACTTTGATTTGAGCAAACCCTTGAGGAACTCTGCCCAAAGTATAAATAAACTTTCTCCATGTTTTTTTGTTCTTCACTGGCCTCCTCCAGCACTTTCCACCATTTTCCAGCCTTCTCTAAGTTCTAATTATAATGCAATTAAATGCAAAGGTGCAAGCGAGCTGGACAAGAATGACGAAAATAATCCCTGGAGAGGGGGAACAAGAGGGACAAAGGACAAACATAAAACTCCAAACATAGCTAGGTGACTGGTGAGCGACCGAAAAAATCCGCCTGGTCCGGGTATCGAACCCGGGACCTCTCCATTACAAGTGGAGCGCTCTACCAACTGAGCTAACCAGGGGTTAGACGTCAGTAGAGCAAACAGGTTTTATCAGCTGCCACCAGTCTACCACCAACAAGGGTGAAGCTTGCAAATTTAAGGTTATAATTATAATGCAATTAAATGCAAAGGTGCAAGCGAGCTGGACAAGAATGACGAAAATAATCCCTGGAGAAGGGGAACAAGAGGGACAAAGGACAAACATAAAACTCCAAACACAGCTAGGTGACTGGTGAGCGACCGAAAAAATCCGCCTGGTCCGGATATCGAAAAAATCCGCCTGGTCCGGGTATGTTTGTCCTTTGTCCCTCTTGTTCCCCTTCTCCAGGGATTATTTTCATCATTCTCTAAGTTCGCTTGACCTTTTGGAGATCCCCTATTCCTCCATCAGCCCCTACCATCCCAAAGCAATACAAAAGTCCACCTCTGTTTAGGTATTTACCAGACTCACCACACATGCTCTGCTGTTACCTTTGCCTGTACCCAGAATGTCTCCTCATATCTCTACCTATAACTCATGGTCTGTAGTACCCAGATCTTTACCTCAGACGATAGACGATTCCATTTTGAACTGATAAAAACGTTCCCCTTTCTCCATCTTAATTTTTAAGCAGAGTAGGCTGGTAATAGGAGCTTCTTTCGTGCTTTCCGTTATGGGCCAGAAAACTGAACCACAATTCTGGATTATGTTTGAGTTTGGGGGCTTATTTGTGCACTTTCCAACAGATGGCATCGTTAGGGTCTTTTTAGTTTGTTTCATATTTATCACTAACCTGCAGTCCCTTGTGCCCCCCTCCACCCCGCACCCAACACCCCACCCCCCCTCCCCCTAAAAAAATAATGTCAGCAACATGGGAAAAGGTGGCATGGCCTCAATGTGCATGTTTTTAGCCAATGAAGAAATACTCAAAAAGTTTTGTTAGCAAGTGACAGCAATCCCCCTCTTATACCCCCCTCCCCCTGAACACTTTATTTAAAACCATAGTTTGCACGACAATTAAAGAAAACATTCACTTGACTTTCAGATGTAGTGTGTTGCTCTCTACCTTCCATAATGTTTTCAACAATAAAACAGGCTCAACGACTACTACCCGCAATATCCCGAGTCATCGCCCATCCCCGAGCCATTGCCCACCCCATTTTTTGGGCCAATATCGATTTCCGAAAAAACACCGAGTCATCGCCCACCCCTTCAAATACCCCAGCGCGGACTCAGCGATCCGCGAAAACTCATCCTACCCGAATGACGCGGCCGCGGACCTTACAATTGGAGGACATCCGTGACAAAGTAAAACGAAGGAGGGAAAGACACTTCTTTTTGTTTACGCATTTCCTCCATGAGCGGCCCCAAAGTGGTCGTGTATCGTGCGAAAAGAAAACGATGGAGATAACAAAATAAGAGTTTGTTAATGTAACTGCGGAGTGTTAGGTCAATGTCTGTCTCCGCCGAAGTAAGGTCACCGCAAACCCGCTCCTCCTTCCCGCCCGCCGCGACCGCGGTTGTGCAATATTTTAGGCAAAGCCAACGCGTAAATAAAGCTTTGCTGGAACGCCCTACGCAGACGTTTGCAGAGCGTCCCAACCGTGCATTGACAGCCCGCCGTGCACGGACACATGTATGTACGCACCAAACAAGAAAGTTGCGCAAGAGCTTGCAATTGACAAGGCGCCCGACTTGGCCCGACGCCAAAGTATTTGCCAACGCGACCGCCGGCTTTCCCGCTTTCCCAGCATTGCTCTTGGTCGCTTCTTTGGTCCGCTCGCTCGCTCGCTCGTTGCGCATGGTCGGTTTTTCTATTTTCTTGTAGACTTTTCTTTCTTTTTTTTTACTAACTAGGAGAACATAGTGGTGACATTCTTTCACGGAGCAAACGTTCGCGCTATATGCAGATCGGCGGTGTTTCTAGCGCGTATGCAAGCAACGGACTTCGCTATAATAAAATATTCTTTCGTGAGCATTTTTTTCTATAAAACAACGAAACTAAATGGAGTTTTGAGTTTGATGTATCTCTTGTGCATCAGCGCTAGATACGTAAAGAAAAATAGGCGGTTTTTTCCGCTTTTTTTTAAGTGTTTGTGCTCACCCACCGAGACATGGCCCACCCCACTTTTTTAATGAATTTCAGGCGGTAGGAGGGTGGGCGATGACTCGGGATATTACGGTAAATGGAAGCATAAGATGGGCAAGAATATATAGTGCAAATGACAAATGACATCTGGAAGACAAGCGAATGTTTTCTGGTTGCACAAATTATAGATCTTCAAAAAAACTCTGTGGCATGTTTTGCAAAAAAAAATTAGGAAGCAATGCCTGACTTTCTACACTGTTCATTGTTTCCCAATGTTATTCTCGCACCTCGCAGAAAGCCCGCTCTCTCTATCTCATCTTCAACTTCTCGTTCATAGGAATTCAAAATTTACCTTGCCTCATACTCTTGTCCCACTGCCATGAACTTCCTCTAAACTTCACTCCTAGTGCTTGCTTCCCTCCCCGAGAAGAATAATCTATATCACTCTGCAAAGTTTCGTTTGAGCTCTGGGCTCAACCGAGGACGTGTCCCAGGTAGAGGATCTCGAATCAGCATGGATTGGTAGGAATCTGGGGACAGCTGCACAAGCACTGCTTTGGGCTATGACCACCTGTAGTCTAGACACAGCCACGGTACTCTCTATATGAAAGAGGTTGAAACGAAAAACTTACCAAGACTTAAGGACTGGATCAGTTCCATTCGAATTGCTTGCTTTGATCAGGTTCGTAAGTACGCATGGACGATCACGAAGGGGGCACGGGACCACTTGAGATGACTAGGACCAAATGCAGAGAGCAATCACCGTAATTAAGAACAAAGCAGGCGCACCCTCCAAGCACATCAAGTTAGCTAGACAGGTATGAGGATAACACACATGAGAGGAATACGCACAATTTTGCGATTTTGAGACAACAATGACGAATGAGAAAACGGAGTGCTGTGTGCCTAGCAATGGGTGGTCGTTTGCGTATGTTAACACAGTCCGTTTTCTTGCTTTCTGCCACATTGCCGTTACAGTAAAGTTCCTATCAGTTAAAGGGGAGACTGGCAAAATATAAAGTCTCAAATAACTATGACACTGGGACTTATTAGTTTTCCCTATATATCTGCTAAATTTGTTTTGTAGAGAGCACATTTTTCTAGTTAAACTGGACTGAACCTTTGGGACCCTTCGATCCCCATAGAGGAAGGCAGCCATGTTCCCCTTTCCAAAAAAAGTTTCGAGTGTTGCTTAATGCACAACATTATGACCATTCGCACAATGCAAAGTTTCGAAAATTCCTTTAAATTGGGTTGTTGAAAAAACATATTTTCAGGAACAAACTGGCAGTTATGGCAAATGTCAGAAATTACAAAAACCAAAGTACTGTAAAATACAGAAAAGTATCCACCCCATTTTCACAGAAAATTAGGTCAATCTAGACATGGGCACTTGTCCGGTCCAATTGAGCGGTTAACATATAATTTCCAAATTCAGAAATTTGGAAAATATTAATAGATGGTGCAGGAACGAAGTGGGCGCTTCTGCAGTATTTTTTGGTAATTTGCAAATCAAATACCTAAATTGCGCTAATTTGTTAATTATAAAAAATAAACATGGTTTCATTAGAAATTTTGTTAAGACTCACCAAAAACACTTTAATCGGTCAACCTTGGGAAGAGTTAAAACGTGTGAAACATATCTGCAAGGCTCAAGGAAACAGCACATGAGTTCCAAAGGAGGCAAGGCTTGCATCCTTGATTTCAAAAAAAGATTACCACACAAGACAGTTATTAAGCAGGTGGGCAACTTAACGTTACACATGATTCTAAACCGGAAACCAGCAGATGACAAGAGAAACGCACATCTCAATGGCACTCTTGAATTGCGAGACACGTGGAAGAGGCAAAAATTGTTTTGCTGGTATGGGGAACATTATTGTGCTAATTAGAGAGAAAGTTTTACAAAAATGACCGCATCTCCATGTGGCAAATGATGTTGAATGGGGCAAAGCTCTGGTAGTGCTGATGATACTGATTTTATTGTTCATAGGTAGTGCTGATTTTTCTTTATTGCTCACAGGTAGTGCTGAGTTCCGGGTTGCGTTTCAACTTCGTTATTACTGCTTTATGGTCGGTGAAATGCAGAGCCAGTGGTTCTTCTAACGGATAAGCTTAGATCTGCTAAGTCAACGGTCCATGTCAGAAAGAGAATTTGTGGTATAGAACTTGGTTACATACGCATTTGAGGATTTGACCGCAGCGCCCTTCGTCTATAAACATTGAGCCAATGCATGCAAAGTTTAACGTGATTAAATATGAAGTTGAGTGGCTACATGCAACGTTTCATCCATGACAAACCCCAGCTCTTGAGTTACTACCATATCTCAGAGCCCCCTACTCGTCCCGCTGTCATGGCCGAGTGGTTAAGGCGATGGTCTAGAAATACATTGGGGTCCCCGCACAGGTTCGAATCCTGTCGACTGCGCAAACATTTTTTCTTTTTATGCGAGCACGGACGCCGGCCGGACGGACAGACAGACAAAGCTAGACCCGAAGGAGCTTCGCCCCTAAAAGGGCTTAAGAACAGACAGTTAGGATTGGCTCTGTGGGAAATTGTATTGTCAACGTTGAATTGCACTAGATGCGGCAATGCAAATGTTTTTACTTTCTAAGGGGAAGTACAGGGGAAAGAGAAGCAATGCATAAGACCTCGTGGTTTTAATTGACCTTGACACAGCTTTTGTTAGAGAAGTCCGAGTTTTGTACCGTTTGCTATGTTCTGAAGGGTGTGGTGCTGGCCGTGTGCAGTGCCAGATTAAGACTTACGAAGGCCTGGTCCAAGAAAAGGGTGGCCCCCTTTACTCTGTAACTTCCCTCTATTTTGCATTTACTTCAAGTGAAAAAGTATGAACTATTTTTCATGTTGAATTTCAACACATGTATTTCATACATGTGTTGCAGACCCAATATTTCGCAGGCCGAATATTTCGCGCTTTAGGTCAAATATCTCAAATTTTTGAATAATTTGGGCATTCTAATTTCCGCGACGTGGTGGAATCTCAATATAGTTTGCAACGTGTTAACATTTTACCGGAACTGTTCGCAGGACATATTTTTCGCAAATTGTACACAATTCGCGAAAATTAGGTCCTTGCGAAAATTAAGTAATTTACAGTAATTCATAAGGTGATACAAACATAAACAAATATTTCTGTCAAACTTGCCCACTTTTTTGTACCGAAGTACTACCCAGATATACCAGAAGTATATCTGGGGTACCTTTGGCATAAAAAGTGCCGGATTTTTAATAGGCAATATAAGGAGAAAATAGCCTCTGCACGAAAGTTGCTCGAAAATGTATCTTGGTGAGCAGCACTGGCCTTTAGAAATGCAATGTACATGGGCTGTCGGTGACCTAAAGGGCCTCTGAAAAAAAAGTATTTTTTTTAAACAATCTGGGAGGGACACGCGTGTCAAAAGATAAATTTTACACGAAAGAAGAAATCCTTTAGAGCAATATTGACGGCGAGAGATTTATATGAAATTCTGCGCGCAAAGTTCATGACGTCACGGTATGGTCATTCGCTCTTTCCACCTCAACATGATGGCCAGTCTTGGGCAGTAAGTAGTTACTTGCAACGCGTCACCGGTAACCAGTTACTTTTCTCAGTAACTTGTAGCTGTAACTCGTTACTGCTTAGTGAAAAAACTAGTAACTGTAACAGACTTGCTGTATTTCGAAAGTAACTGTAAAAAGTAACGTTGTTAGTTTTTTCTCAGATTTATGTTCAAATATTGTAAACACGACCACCAAATCGTCTCGCAACTCGTGAGAGAGGGGCACAACAAAAACTGCTGCACAAAAACGTCTGAAGCCAGAGGGAAAAAATAAAAATATAAAGAAACAAAATTTTGGGTAACCCTGCTCGGCCAAGCCGGTCCCGCCCAGAACCACATATTGGGAGAGGTTGACCAATGGGCGGAGCCGCCTCCAGCGCCGAATATTCGTCCCGCGGTTAGAGTGTAAACTAAAAGTCGACCAATCAGCAGACCGCGACGTCACAATATTGAAAACGACATTTAAAGCATGAAATAGAAGCGTTCAATCTCAGCGTCTCGGTGAAAGTCTGCTTTGGTGCGCACATTCGTTTATTCTACCGTTGAATATGGACGTGACAAAAACCTCACACGCGCCAAGTTTTCAGTCACCAGGAGTTACACCTTTTAACTCTAGCGACGCTAAATAGACTTAAACTATTTGAGTCTCATTATCAGAGCTCACGACCACCGCTAGGGGCTGTTTCGTGGCCTGTAGTTGGCCACGAAATGTTTGCCTATAGACCAGTGTCCGAAAGTGCTCTTTTTAGCCTCGACCGCAAGGAGCAAAAGTAAACAATATTCTCGAACTCAGACGCTCACGGGGAGGGGGGGCAGCGTCGGCCTGCGCCGCCGCTTCCCGTTGAGGGCTTCTTCGCTGGTGTGCCGACTGCCGTTTCGCCGGCATCGGTCTTGTTTACCGCGGTATGTGAGTATAGTGCTCGTAATGTGAGAGCCGTGTGTCCATACGCCACTTTGCCGCTGTTGGTTTCCATCTAGCCGAGCCAGAAAACATCTCGCGACGAGTTGACCGTGCCACGAGTGACAAAGAAGCAAACATGGCGACGGTTTGTGCGATTGCTTTGGTGGCTCCGGTGTTGAGTGTCTTCAACGTCCTCGTGAGAAGATTCCCCTGCCCTTCGAAGTTATTGCAAGCACCACGAGTGGCACGAAAAATGTGGAATCATCGTTTCAACTACAAATAAGCAGGCCTTCACGAGCAACAACGATGCCGAGTAGGCGCTCGGAACAGTTGTGTCGTCAGATGTTCTACAACGCCGAGGTATTTTCATTTATCCTTTCGAATGGCTTCAAGAATGGGAAATTAATCTATTTCGTGGATTGTTAACGCCGAGGTGAGTGCCCTCCGTTGCAGTGCCGTTGTCGCGCAAAGTGCAGAGAAAACCGGGTGGCGATGGCAGCGGTGCTCTTTGATCGCTTTGATCTTGCGCCATCGGGTTCATGGAGTCGGGTGTAAACGTACGTATGTGCGTCTGCTGGATCGGTGTTTTGGACTGCCTCAAAACTCTTTCTCACGTGCATTTTCCTTGTGAAGCTTAGTAGCTCATTACACCTCGTCCTCGACTGCGCTCATTTGACTACGACGGACGAGCCTACGTGATGTGAATTTCACTGCCTAAGATCCTTGGTGTGCTGTAACGAGGGCTAATAAAATATCACCGCGAACTTCTGAACAAACGAGTCAAAGTTTCGTCTTTTATCATAACTGATCGCCTGTCACAATATTAATCAGTAGCGTTCCTAGACTCCGCCCCCACAGGCACCCTGCTTCGTTGCCCGATAGCAAGTGTCTCCTGGTACCTCGTAGAATTCCAGCTTGCACTTCAAGTAAGTACTATCCTTTAGAACTGGCAATTAATAGTTTCGAATCCACACGCTCGCAGCGTGTGTGTTTGTGTGTGTGTGTGTGTGGGGGGGGGGGGGGGGGACGCGTGCTTATATACTCGGAGCCCTCGTTTACGCCGCTTCGCGGCGGCAGACAAGGTGGCACATTACAAAAGAAAGCTAATCCGAGCTGTCTATGTAACTAGACTCATTCGCTAGCCATTCAATGAAACGTCCTGGTCTCGTTTTCATTCGCTAAAACGGCGTTAGATCAAGTGAACGCCTCCCACTTCTTTCGGCTCGGCAGAGCCACGCTGCCGCAGAAAGGCAAGCAGATCGCGAAAATCGGGT